GACACGTCAGGCTCCGATTATCTTGCTTGGCATGCCACGTGGGTTCCTCATTGGATCCTATAAATACCCCCTCCGGGCCACGTCAAAAGGTGATTGAAACCAACCCTAAGCTCTTTTTATCTCCGCCTTAAAGATAGCCCCGATTATTGCTGACTTAAGCATCGGAGTGTCTACCCCGAGTTCCACCTCGAGGTTTTGCAGGTTATCTCGGAGTACAGGCGCGGACTGAAGAATGACTTCTGGTTTGGTGCAATTACATAATGTCGAGAACAATGATTGAGGTGATGCTTAATTGTCATTATGTCCGTAAATAATCAGTCTTGGTTTTATGTTGGAAGATAGAATGTACTTATGTTGTATGTCTCTAATGTCTTCATCGAGCAAAGAAGTTGAGACTAGCAGGTTGAGAAAAACAATTTTTTATTTACCGACTCAGCCAGCTGCAACCTTAACTCGAGCTCCAACAGTTGGCACTTGCGTGGCTCAAGCTGGAAGGCCGACTACTAAGCTCATCAGGAAAAGGGCTGAGGATGAGTCTGCAGCTCAGAAAAGGCACAAGCTGGAGAAGCAGCAGCAGCAGGAGGCTCCTCAATTTGTACCTCGTCCTCCCCCCGGTGGTTGTTGATCTTGCTGTTAGGGAGGTTGGGGTTGTAACACATGCGAGGGGAAAAAGCTTCCCAACTCGAGTCCGGTCCAGAGGGTTATGGCTTTGCAACCTCTTCCAGCAGAACAGCTGCAAGGCGTTTCATTGACACCACATTTCCCAAAATGGATCTAATTCGGGCAAGGGACGAGGTAGATCTCCATGGAGGAGATGAGGTAGTTCGCCACATCCTTGAGGTAAGGAGTTCATTGGTGTAAGTTTTTAACTTCGGCCTTTTTTTTTTTCATTTTAACTTTGGTAATTTATGTAGGGAGTCAATCTTGTTAATGTTTTGGCAAACAGCCACCTGGACTCCCTAAAGGAAAGAAATAAATTGGTGAAAGAGAAGGAGTAGCTCGGCATGCAGAAGGAGGATGCTGAGAAAAATGTGGTGAGCTTAACCTCGGAGTTGGATAAGCTCCTAGATGAAGTGGCCACGCTGAAGAAGGCTGCCAAGCTTGCACACCAAAAGAGAAAAGTTTGTAACGAAAATCTTTCCAAGAGGGACGGGCAAATTGCCAAGATGGGGAAGAAAGTTGAGGAACTGCAACAAGATGTTGAGTTGCGGATCCATAATTCCATGGAGATTCACATTTACGAGTTTGTCAAGTCTAGCACGTTTTCCAATATCGTGGACCTCTATTGCCTTCCTACTATGGTGTTGGCCTTTAGCAATTGTAGGAAAAAGGTGAAGGCACAGCATCTCGAGGTGGACATTACCAACATCACATTGGGACCTCAAGAAGAAGGGTTGGGGGAAAATGATGAGAGCTTGATTGCTGATTTCCAACCTGAGGTGACACTCAAATGGGATGGAGATGAGAATGGCCGCGTCGTTTTCCTATCGAGCTTCAACTATGAGTTCGTCCCTATTGACAAGGAGGAAGTTTAGGTTGTTGGGGGTCCCGAAGTGGGAAACAACGTGCAAAATAACAAAGTGGATCAACAGCACCAGCTTATTGAATGAGTTCATCTCAGTTGGTTGTTTTTGACTCATTTGTATTTTGGACAGTGAAAATTTATATAAAATTTGAACTTGACATTTTGGTTCATGTTTTTGTTTACTGATTTATCTCGTTTTATTGATATTTTAGTTATTAATGCATAGGTAAGAGCAGTTTAAATTGTTAAGTTAATGATCAACTTTTTGATCTTGTATGTATATGAGATCAAAGTATGAATTAAAACTTGGAATTTATGCCCAATAACCTAAGGGAATGACAAGTTTTGCATATAGTGAATTAAGACTATGGTAGATAATCCCTCATGTTTGAGATCGCTCTCCAGCTTGTGCGACAAGGGGCTGCCTGTGCTCAAACTAACACAGTTTCGATCGATGACAAGCCAAAAGATGTAAAGGTAGCAATGTTGTTCATAAAGCTGCATGCCAGTGATCAGTTATAGTGTTTAATGTAAAGTTACTGCATTAGAAGGTAGGCATTATAGTTATTGCTGGCAGAAATTAGAAATTAACATGATGATAAAACATTTTATGTTTGTTCTGAGGACATTCCTTCTGCATAACGTCTTAGACACCTTCATTGCCTACCTAAGATCAAAATCCTGTAATAAAAGCTCGTTTATTAAAGGAGGTGTTATACTTATTTAAACTCCTTTGATTTGTTTCTAATGACAGGATAAAGATACTAAAAAGGTCCAAACGGTCAAAACAACTTAAAGAAAAAAGGATGTTCGCAGAATGTGGACTTCTGTTAAAAGAAAAAAACGCAGCAAAGGTGGAAAAGGTGTTGGTAGACTCATCTAACCTGTCTCATTTTGTTGGGCAGCTAGTTTTGTAATTGCTTTAAAAAAAAAATGTTTTTATTTTACAATATAAAAGTGACTACAAACCAGGCTGTTCAGGCATGTTATAGATGCCCAATTCATTTATGTGAGCAATTAATTCTAGGCAATCAAAGGGAAATTCAGGATCTAGGAAAGCTAGATATGTGGTTTGGTATATGTGCAACTATTTGGTCCATTTGGCAGCAGAGAAATCAAAGATTTATTTACCAGGTGTTTATTGACTCCTCTGATCATGAGATTGAAGTATTTACAATTCTCACAAGATAAACTACATTTTGGTAATATATATTAACATATTTAATATGAACCAAATATAACTTATTTACTAGCATTCTAACTAACTTTTAAATACAAATCAAAGAGTTTAGAGGAGTTGATGAACCAATGGTTTTCATCCCCAA